TTTTATTTGATTTTATAAATGGTTAGAACACCTAAAAAAGAAATTCTGACATTATTTAATCACCCTTGTGTCATTATAAACCTGCTCATCTCTGGAACACATTGAAAGTCTATGGATCCAAAACTCTGACCCTATTTATTGAATGAAAAAAATGTAATTATATGAATCAAGCAGTTTAACCCAATTTTACAGCAGTGGTTCTCATGGAAAACTATGAGGTCAGTTAAACCATGTGACACTAAAAACAGCTGGACATTTTATCTGACCGCAGACACTGAATAAAGACAGCATATTTTTCTCACGTTGTGTGCCTGCTGGGCAATAGCTAAATGCACTACAGAATGTTACGTTTACACACATGTAAATTACATGTAAACGCATCAGCTTTTTATAGCGTAATACTCACTACTCACTACTTTTGAGTACTTTAGAAATGTCTACTTTTTACTCATACTTTGAGTATATTTACAACAGATACTTTTACTCTACTTAAACTACATTTTTAGGCAAGTAATGGTACTTTTACTAAAGTTTAAGTAAATTTTTCAGTACTCTTTCCAACATTGGTTAGAAGTCAACACACTGACATAAAAGTCTCAGCAACTTCCTGTCCACATGGATTTTAAGTACAAATAAACAGCCAATATCATAATAACAGCCACTGATTAACAATGAGAGTTGGTAATTACACTAAAGTGTCTCCTTACTTTTTAAAAGTGAATAGACATTTAATGGAGGGACTGAAACCTCTTAGACTGAATTAAACATATATTCATTTGTGTTCCTTCAATAAATAAAAGTTTGAAGGTGAATAAATGATGACAGATTTAAAATTTCAGGCTGATCTGACCCTTTAATCTCATATAGTCCTTATTGATTAGTCCTAGAGGCAGAACCTGTGACTTTGAGCATCTTTTTTTGCAGATTTAGTAAGAATAATCTGCATAAATCTGCATAATGACTTTGTGCTGTGTGCGTGCTTTCAGGTCCCACGGTGCTTGAGGTGTTCAACACCCTGCTGAAGCATCTGCGGATGAGTGTGGATTTTGAGCTGGGCGACGGGTCCCGCAGGAACTCCACCAGCAGCCTCTCCTCCGTCCGCACTAAAGAAAGCGAGGAACGCATCGTCCAGAATGCCATCATCCAAACCATCGGTGACAGCTTCACATGCACACTTAAATCTGACGTTTAATGAGGCTCAAACACTAAAGCGATTTTGCTCTAATTGTTTCATGTTTAGGTTTTTTTGGAGGAAATCTTCCTGATTACCAGAGAGCAGAAGTGATGATGTTCATTATGGGAAAAGTACCAGTTTACGGGACGCCATGCCACACGCTGGACACGGTCAAGATTGGGTAGGTCTGTGTGTGTACGTGTTGATTTGGAGAAAGTTTACTAAATGCCTGATTAACACTGCTGATTGCGTGTGTTAAACTGACACGTTTGCAACATGCAAATGACTTGTAATCAGAGATGTCAAAAGCACATCTCTATGGAGTGCAAACTTGTAGGATAAACAAATCAGGTGACAAAAACATTGCTTTTTCAGATCTGTGAAATGTAAGTATTTATATTTAGTTGTTTTAATTTGTACACAATTTTTCAGTCATCATCTTATTGCATTCCTGTTTACTTGAATAACTGTGAAAGATTTAGGACAAGTATTACTAACAGTAAGCACAAACCCTGTTTTGGCATTATAACAGTTCTGTCAGGATGTACTAAAGGCACATAGTGAGTCATTAGAGCTGAAAAGGACACACAGTTAATTTTGCGCCTGGCATATTTCATATACTGTACATTAGTAGTTCACTTTCAAATGCAAAATTTATGGAAGGAGAGATTTAAATGAATCGTGCAAGACAATTTTTTTTTAAGATTTGCTGTTTTCATTGGCATTTGAACCATACATTATGGTCAAAAAAGCATGTCTTCATGGCATAGTTCATGCAAAAAATTCATATTTACTTACTTTTTACTGTCCTTTCACTTATCCGAAACAATTTTCTTTCTGTTGAACATATAGGAAGATATTTTGAAAAATGTTGGAAACTATTGACTTCCATAGTATGGACTCGTTGAGTTCCATAGTTAAATAAAAATCCTGGGTAACTATGTTTCTATCCGCCTATTTTGATGCTCATTTTTATATGCACATGAAAAACAGTTGATGGAAACACCAAGATGCACATTAATTTTGATAATGCGCATAAAAATGTATGCGCATAACTGAGTAGGATAAACTTTTTATCCGATAAGATGCACATAAACTATGATGGTAACACTTTAACCAAACAAATTCCAGAACGCGCATTAAAAAGTCGTGATTTTGTTATGAGAGATCATGTGATGGTAGAAATATCAGTGAGTGGACAATCCAGCAGGCTGAGCACGTTGTAAAACATCTAAAATGTTGTTTTGGTCATTCTAAAATGCCTTAAACATTTCAGTATTAGTGTTATTATATTATTGATTACCCTCAGAAGAGCGTCAAGAGCGTCTGTGCCCCAGGTCTCACGCCTTCAAAAGCCATTACGCATTCATTGTATGTCGGCATCATCTTTTGAGGTCATTTACAAAATATAGAAAAGATTCACGCAGCTTCTCCTACCGCAGTAAATTCTGTTTTACGGTTGATATTTGGCGGCAGTTAATCAGGAAGACGCAGTTTTGTTCTCTTTGACTAATTGTATGGAAACGCTGCTTTATTCGCACGTCTTTTATGCGATATTCCAGTTTTGTGCAAAAATTTAATTTGCATCTTTAGATGGAAACATAGCTAACAGCTACTTGTTTCAAACATTATTTATCTTCTTTTGTGTTCAACAAACAGGTTTAGAACAAGCCAAGGGTGAGTAAATGATGACAGAAATGTCATTTATGGGTGAACTGTCCCTTTAAAGGTCCCATGAAATAAATGAAAGTATTTTAGATGTCAATATTATTATTGTTTGTTTTTATGATATCTATAAGCTAGTGTGCTCCAAAGCAATTACAAAATTTGCATTTAGAAGATATAAAACTGATATAATTATTTAAAGCTTGTATTTTTTTTTTTTTTTTCACCTCATACTAGAGTTTCTCATCAAATCTTGACGAATCAAAGGCTCTCTAGTATCTGACATGCCCTGCCCACTTTAAGGTGCTTCACATTTGATGCGCTTGAACTCATCCTCTCTCTCTAGCAGAGTGGTGATGAAGCAAATTCTATTGGCTGTTTTATAAAAAGGGGAGGAGCTACACAATGTCCCACCCTCTCTTCGTGTTTCGGTTAAGATTACGTCAAACATTGAATAAAAAATGCACATTTCAAAGCACTTTATTGGACCTTTAACTTACACCCTGATTGTTAGTAGGTTATCGGCACCTGACTATGTTAGACTTTGCTTGTTTGCATCCTAATTTGTGCTCTATCACTTGCTGGATTATAATAGTCATTGTTATGAAAATGATCCTCTTTTTTAGTTCATTATTTGCTGAATCTCCTGCAGGACCTTCCACTTCCATCATACTTCTACCTGTTTTAGTATTACATATTTAAGACATGTTTTTAAGGCTGCGTATACCACAATATCAATCGATTTAAATAATCAGTATTAATATTTGTCATCTTCTTTAGTTCACATATTTGTTTTAAGGAGAGCAGTCAAATGTCATTTTTATTGTCGCTGGCTACTAATATTTTATAGTAGGCATTCTCAATATCTGACCTGCAGATTTTAGCTTCAAACCCAATCAGACACATTGGACTAGCTAATCAAGTCCTTACTAGGCTTTCTAGAAACATCCTTTCAGGTATTTTGAGGAAAGTTGGAGCTAAAATTTGCAGGACACTGGATCTCATGAAGAGAGTTTGAGAACCCCTGTTTTAGAGTATAATAGTGTATACATTGTTTATCACACTAACAAATAATAGATTTATGTACACTCCTTTATACATTTATATGTTACAAATTTATAAATTAGTGATATACCAGTCAATGACAAATTTTAAGCATTGTAACTGTGTCTGACATTGATAATGATAATGTTTCTTAAGTCTTGGATTTTTGTCTTCATTTCTCAGGCATCAGGGCACTAAGAGAATCCAGGCGATGCTGCTCAGTTCTCTTATTATGGTAATGCTGTTTTATTTCATTTAGACTATCTGTGTGTGTGTGTGTGTGTGTGTGTGTCAGTGTGTTTGTGTGTCTGTGTGTGTACGGATACATGTGCTTTGGAAAGTGTGTGTGCGTAAGGCAGTAATGATTAAAGAAAGCCAATGTTGTGGACACATTTACCAGTGCTTTGCTCATTTTTGCTGACGAAATTGAGTCATTTTAATAGGAGTCCATTAGGAGTGTAAACCATATTTTATTTTTCAAGAGTCAGCTTATTTGTATTTACAAGGTATAACACACAAAAATGTACATTATTTTGAACGAAACCTGAGATTTACATCTGTTCTCCTAAATTCTTCTAAATATTTAAAGTTTATTCTTAAAAAGATCCAAAAAAGGTGTCATAAAAGAATACATTGAGCAGTCTCACCAATATCTAGCTCTAACTAACATTCAATTGTACAATTTTTTTTACTATGTCCCTTCAAAAAATACTATAAAAACCTAAATAAATAATGTTTTGTGACTTCATAAATGTCAAAATATAAATATTTTTTATACAGGCACAAGCTAATAAATCACAGAGGCAATGTATAAACTTAATGGGCTCTATTTTAAAGATCTATGCACAAAGTCTAAAGTGCATGGCGCAAAAGCATTAAGGGCATGCCTACATCTTTAACTTCGTTTGTTAAGAGAAGAACAATAACGAAGTGTGGTCAAAAAAATAATATATCCAAACATGTCCTATTCTTATGCCTCATACAGCGATGCTCCAAAACCAGACAGGTGGACATATATAAACTTGTTTTTATTTAAACAAATATAAATATGCATCTAATAAATAATACTACTAATAATAATATTATACAGTTGCAAATTGTCATTAATAAACTGAAAAAAAAAACAGGTGAAGAAGGCATGGAGGCAGTGGTTTTTATATCTGCGTAGAAAATAATAATTTTTGTGATTATTTTATTCCTTTAATTTTTAATTCAGATATATGTCTGTATTGCTGTACATCCTGTGTGTGCATTAAGCATTTGAACGTGCATAGGCACATAACTAACTCGACTGTAGACCAGCTTTTAGTTGGTCAAAGGCCCGATCTATTTCAGTTATTCAATATGGCCAATAATGCACCTTAACACACCTTCTTTTTAGACAGGCACACCCATGAGTTCACAAAGTGGCGCAAATGGATTTGCTATTTGAACAACTTAGCGCAAAACATGAAAATTAGTGTAGGGCTGGTCTAAAAATAGCAATATATATATATATATAGAGAGAGAGAGAGAATCAGAATTATTAGCCCCCCTGAGTTATTAGCGCCCTGTTTATTCCCCCCTGTTTAGCGGAGAGATTTCTTTAACACATTTCTAAACATAATAGTTTTAGTAACTCATTTCAAATTACTGATTTATGTTTTCTTTGCCATGATGACAGTAAATAATATTTTTCTAGATATTTTTCAAGACACTTCTATACAGCTTAAAGTGACTTTTAAAGGCTTAACTAGGTTAATTAGGCTACCTAGGCAGGTTAGGGTAATTAGGCAAGTTATTGTAACGATGGTTTGTTCTGTACAGTCGAAAAATATATAGCTTAAAGGAGCTAAAAATTTTGTCCCTAAAATGTTTTTTTTTTTAATTTAAAACTGCTTTTAAATAAAACAAATAAGACTTTCTCCTGAAGAAAAAAATATTATCAGACACACTGTGAAAATTTCCATGCTCTGTTAAACATAATTTGTGAAATATTCAAATAAGAAAAAAATTCAAAGGGGGCAAATAATTCTGACTTCAACTGTATACAACCGCATAGTTCGGTTGTGCAATTCTGATTGGGCAGAATGAAAGTGTGCTCACTCAATTGGCTAGTTAGACTGCTACACACAGATGGCTGTCATTCATTTGCTCTGAGCAGGGGAAGTTAAATAATATATATTTCATATCGCAGCCTCTTGCGATATCGCAACGTTTTAAAACGTGATTGTGATTTGATTTCGATTAATCACACAGCCCTACTGAGCACCAATACAATGCAATTTCTTTCTGCAGTACATCTCCTTTAATGTTTTGAATTACAGTAATAAAGGAAACTTGATCTTCTTGACCTTGAACTTGACCTAATTATGATAATGATAAAAAAATCCTCTTTATTTTGGCTTAAAACATTGCAATAACATTGCATTGTGACTTCAGCTTCATTATCAGTGTCATATTGTGGCATGAATGTATCACTAGGAACCATGCAGATTATGGAATTACGTGCAAGAGCAAAAAAATTGCTCATTTTAATTTCAGTTGGTCTCACAAATTTGCCATGTGATGCAAAGCTTGATTTGAAAATCATTTCACAATCTCCACTACTAAAATAAGACGGCTTTTGGTCTTAAGTGTTTCATAAAAGTAACAGCTATCACATCCGAACCTTTAGTCTTGACTAGTTAAGACATCAGACTCGCATTCAGTCTGTGAGCTTGTTAGTAAAACCTTCCACACTCTCCTAAAGGGAGTTTCTGAAGGTTCCTCGACAGCAGACTGCACAGATCATAACATCAGATTACAGATGCCTGTGGTGCTTTGTGTCCTTTTTCTTCTTCTTTTTGTGTGTGTGTGTGTGTGTGCGATGTCCAATTTTGTCAGAATTCTGGTTTATGGATGGTTTCAGACTGGGCAACTTTTCAGGCAGTGTTGCCCAGCAACAGGGTCCACAGGTTGAGACTTACCATTATTATTTTGGATGTCAACAGATTTTGCTCTCCATCTCCCACTGCTGGACAATTTTATAAGTTCCACGATATTTCTAGAGTTCATAATGGGAAAATGCACTATATATAATAATGGTGCTGGTCATGTCTGATGGATTCTTTCTATCTGTGTGTAGGTTACTTCAGGGTTTAAGTGTAAAACGATGGGCGCTGGCCTCCCCGCAGCGTTTTTGGAGCCGCTTTGCTCCATCTCTCTGATGGAAGACAGTGAACTCCGGCAACTCGTCTTGGAGATTCTCCACAACATCATCGATCGTCATGACAACAGAGCCAAACTCCGAGGGATCCGGTGTGAATCTGCACTTAACACCCTATAGTGAATGTGTGAAGACCAGGGCTGTTAAAAATGAATGTGCTAACACCTGCCAATAATTAAATAACTAAACATTGATCATTTAATGCTGTGAATGCGTTCAGGTTGTCGGTCGTTTCATTCTGTTCTGTGCCATTTTTGTGAAACTTGACTGATTCCTGGTGTCCAATTATTAGTGTTTTTATTATCCAGTTAAAGGTAAAATTATTAGTCCTCCTGTGGAATTTGTTATTGATACAATTAGGTTTAAAAATGTGTTGAAAAAAAATCTATTCAATTCTCTCAGTTAAACAGCACTTGGTAAATATTTTCTTTTATATATGTTTTTTTAAAATAATCTGACAGGAAGGCTGATTATTTAGATTAATTAATTAACATAAATATCTTAACACATGGCGACGCAGTGACACTGTAGTGCTTTCGCCTCACAGCAAAAAGGTTTCTGGTTCGAACCTCGGCTCGGCTCAGTTGGCGTTTCTGTGTGGAGTTTGCATGTTCTCCCTGCGTTTGCGTGGGTTTCCTTCAGGTGCTCCGGTTTCCCCCACAGTCCAGAGACATGTGGTACAGGTGAATTGGGTAGGCTAAATTGTCCATAGTGTATAAGTGTGTCTATAAATGAGTGTGTGGATGTTTCCCAGAGATGGGTTGTGGCTGGAAGGGCATCCGCTCCGTAAAAATGTGCTGGATAAGTTGGCGGGTCATTCCGCTGTGGTGACCCCGGATTAATAAATAGACTAAGCCGACAAGAAAATGAGTGAATGCATCTTAACACATTTTAATATTAAATATATCAGGTCCTTATTGATTTTAGTTGTAGTTTCTGTGTTATGAACCATTTTAAGAAATCTTTAAGCTGTTCAAAGTTCAACTCAAAATCATACGCTCAAACTCCAAAACCTGATAATAACAAATAGTTTAATTATTATATTTCTTTGTATACATATGCTAAATACTTTAATTATTTAAAAAAATATAGTATAAAGTATTTTCTATTTTAATATAAAAATAAAATAATAAACAATATAATATTTTAATATAAAATAAATATTTGTAAAATTATAAAAATTTTACAGGAAGGCTAATATTTTTGATTTCAACTATATATGTTTTTTTTAGTTACATAAATATCTTAAACATTTTATTATTAAATTTATCAGGTCCTTATTGATTTCAGTTGTAGTTTCTCTATTATGAAGCATTTTAATAAATCTTTAACCTGTTTAAAGTTAAACTCAAAATCATATGCTCAAACTCCAAAACCTGCTAATAATATATTGTCCTATTACTATGTTTCTTTGTATAAATATGCATAACACTTTAATTATTTAAAAAATTATGTAAAATATTTTCATTTAAAAATAAAATAAATAATATAATATTTTAATACAAAAATAAAATATTTTTAAAAATAATATTTCACAGGAGGGCTCCTTTTGATTTCAATTATATACTGGTTGTTTAGTTATATAAATATCTTAAAACATTTTACAGTGCTCAGCATAATTGAGTACACCCCATTTTGAGGCGTTAATATTAATATTTATTAATAAAAATTTATATATTTTTTACATTTCTCAGTTGATATAGGCAATGTATTTTGGTGCCTTTAAGCAAAACAGATTTATTAAACGCATATATTTATTAAAACAATGTTTTAGTCACCAAACATATTTAGAAATTAAAAGATAATACAAGTAAATTCAAGAAAAATATTGCAAAAAAAAACACAACCTACAAAACAAATTTTTTCCATTTTTTTGCTTCTCTTGATTTTTCCTTATTTTTATTTTGTATTTAATATTTTTATGTAACATAAATTTGGGTGTACTAGTTTATGGACCATTATCGTAAATTATTTTGTTGGATAAGCTCGAAATTTGTCTTCAGTACTGACTATTCTAATGTATATGCACAAATATAATCATGTAAAGCTTTCTAATAAAAATATTATTTTAAAAGATATATTTATATATGCTGAGCACTGTATAATTAAATATATCAGGTTCTTATTGATTTCAGTTTTCAGATTTCAGCTTCTTCTGTATTATGAAGCATTTTAAAAAATCTTAAAATTTAAGAAACCTGCTTTTCAACTCAAAATCATGTACACAAACTTTAAAACCTACTAAGTACTAATTAGTCTATTGTTAAGTTTCTTTGTAATAAAAAGAAGCAGTATGCTTAAAAGGAATAGCCCAACAAAGCATGAATGTATCATTGGTGTGCTCGTGTTGTTTCAGTGCTCCGAGTATGACCATTGTTCTTTAAACTGAAAGGTTTTATTTTTAGAATATGGTCACTCTTTTCAATATAATGAAAGTACATAAGGACAAGATCAAACTTCAATAAGTCAAAACGCACTGTACAGCAATCACAAATTAGAACAAAATTAGTTTACTGTAAATGAATAAGAATCTAAAGTTTTTACACCTAATAAATGAGTATGCAAAAGCTAATAAAAAATAAATAAAAAAAGTGTGTGTTCTGAGATGCATCTGCCTTTCTTACTAAGCCTTGTGTGTCTGCAGGATTATTCCTAACGTAGCAGCTCTGAAGTTCAAGAGAGAAAAAATCTGCAAAGAAGATGTGGTCTTCATGAAAAAGGTACATGACTCACATGCAGAACATCAGACCTTAAACTTGTTAAACGTGTTTATACCTGCATATAATGTTGTTTAAAACAAAAAGAATGATGAACTTCATTGTTTAAAACAGTTTTTATCACTTTATGTTCTTTGCTGCTTTTGGCCTAAAAATCTGTTTGCTACAATGCATAATGACAACTTTTTCAAACTCCTTTAGATCACTTGGTTTTCTCTTTAAACTGCTCTCTTTCTGTTCTTCCAGCATGGACAGCAGTTATACAGGCACATTTATCTGGGCTGTAAGGAGGAAGATAATCTGCAGAAGAACTTTGAACTGCTCTTCACAGCGCTGGCTCTCATCACCATTGAACTGGCCAATGAGGAGGTGGTGATTGACCTGATGCGTCTGTCCATCGCCCTGCAGGTATTAAACCAGAAACCTGAAGCAACTTACCAAAATCAATTAAGTGTAATTGGTTATGCTAATCCCTGTCTTCTGATTGGCTGAAGGATATGGCCTTGGTCAATGAGGAGAATATGCCCATGTTTATTCGTTGTGGCATCATGGCGTTGGTCGCCGCATACCTCAACTTCCTCAGTCAGATGATCGCAAATCCTCCTTTTTGCCAACATGTCAGCAAGGTAGATGAGGAGACAAGTTTCTGGCTATAACACATATATGCACTTGCGAATCACTGTAACCTCTTGTCTTCCTGTCAGGTGATTGAGCTGAGAAGTTTGGATGCTCCGTATCTCCTGCCGGAACACATCTTCAGGGAAAAGTGTGTGTGAGTATTGCTTTGTGAATAAGGTCTATACTATTCTATACTATACTATACTATACTATTTATCAAAGGATATGTTAGGGTTTTTCCAAAAGTGTGAATAAAAAAGGATCAGAGTTAAATACTATTTCAGTTGTTCTGCTTCTAAATTTCACTGTTTATTCCGTTTGTTGGTAATTTCAGCCATTAGATGCAATATTAGGTCTAATATTAACAAATAGGCTGGTGTGTTGGAAAAAAAAGCTATTGGCTTCCATAGTATTTTTCAGTAATACCATGAAAGCCAATGACTGATTTATTTCCAACATTCTTTAGGATATCTTTTTTTGTGTGTTTAACAGAAGAAAGGAAGTCATGTAACTTTAGAACTACAGGGATGTGAGTTTTAACCAGTTATCTCTCTGTTAGGGTAAACCTTAACCAACCTATTCTGGAAAATATTCACAAATATTCTTGTGTGATATTAACTCAACATGGCTAATATACAGCAGGGAATATAAGTATTGAACACATCATCAGTTTTCTCAGAAAACATATTTCTAAAGGTGCGGTTGACTTGAAATTTTCCCCAGATATTGGTAACAGAAAAAGAAATCCATATATGCATATATGCAAAACTAATTAGTTTACAAATTAAGTTATGCATAATAAAATGAAATGACCCATGAAGAAGTATTGAAGACATGAAGAAAGGGAGGTGTAGAAAGTGAAAGCCCAGACAGCAGCTGAAATCTCTCAGTAGTTCTTCAGCAATCCTCTGCCCTTCATCGATGTAAATAAATATTCGCTGCTTAACTTTAACATCTACATTAGCAGGATGATGAAGATGAAACCAGAGTGGACATTTCAGCAAGACAATGATCCGAAACACAGTCAAGGAAACTCTCAAATGCTTTCAGAGACAAAAAACCAAGCTGTAGAATGGCCCAACCAATCACCTGAACTGAATCCAAAATAAAATGCAAATTAAAAATCAGATTTGATAGACGAAACCAACAGAACCTTCAAGATTTTAAACTCTGTTGAAGTCTGTAAAAAAAACTCACATCTGAGCAATGCATGTGACTTCATTCTCCATATGAAAGGCGTCTTTAAGCTCCCATTACTAAAAAAGATTTTTATATGACGCATTAAATACATTTCACTAGTTCAGCACTTTCTCCTTGTGTCATTTCATTGTGATTACACACTAACTCATTTTCAGATTTGTTTTGTTTTATTTTTATGTTTGTTTTGTTTGGGTATTTACCAATATCTGGTTTAATTCAACAGCTCCTTTAGAAATATTATTCCCTGGAAAAAAACAAGTGTTCAGTTTTTATTTTCCCCACTGTATAACAAAACCATAAACAAAACAGAACCCTGCATGACTTCAGAGAAAAACTAATCAATTGTGGACATGTTTCTCAATACATTTTCTCAATCAACTAGAAAGTGTGCATGATTTTTTCATTTGTTTCCTCATTTTAAGTAAATCGTCCATAAGAATTTTTTATTTGTTCATTAGATTTACTAAATCGTGTGCATGATTTACTCATTTTTCCTCTCCGTCATAAATTTGTAAAAAAAAATTTGTTTCATGACCTGAATGACAGTGTGGGGTAATTCTAGCTGTGCTCTAAAATTCTTCATCATATTGTGTGTTTTTATCAGGTTTTTTTTTTTTTTTGGAAAAGTCATTGAAATTCCATAATATCCACTTGTGCATAAAGTATGAACAATTATTACAATATTATCGTAGACTACAAATATTGCTATTGTTATATTTTCACATTTCTTTATAAAAAATGACAATGGCTTAACTAACTTCTTGATGTCTCTCCTTGGTTTTGTATGTTTGGGATGTGTGGATCAGGCTTCCAGACTCTTTGGATAGGGAAGACAATGCGCTGTATTTTCAGACGGCTGATCTGGCGGAAGCAATGACTGTACCTGGATATAATGTAGAGCGACTGTCCATACCTTACATACCACAGGTCACAGGTAAACATGCTCTTCTACACTGTTTCAAATAGTCGATTTGTAGGGAAAGTTAACCGAGGAATAGAAAATAACTGCTGATTTACTCGACCTCAGGTCATCCATGATAGAACAATAAAAATAACTATTATGAAGCACCAAGGAAACCGTTTCTGCTGAAATATTCATTAATGTTCCAAATTTTTTATTTTGGGTGAAATATTATTGTAGTATTTAAAGTGCACTTTTAAGGAGTTCAAGCGTAGCACTGAAATCCTATTGTAAATGGTAGAAAAGCCCAAAAGTCACCATACTTCCCTAAAAATAAATGGGCAGATCAAACCGTACTGCGTAGATACCTGAAACTTTCCATTAGATCTTGTAAAATTTTTAGGTATTTTGCAATTTTATAAGTTTTCTGTAAACTACTCCTAGGTATTTCACAACAATAGTGTTTTTTGGGGGGGAATTTGGACTGCCTAGATCAGTAATTATCAAACAAAGTGGAACTTTACCCTTTGGATGGCCATTCTAGCGTCATTTAGAAATTGGGTGTTAATGAATATAATAAAATGTCTGTAATTCATAAATGAAAACTCAAATAATTACAAAGTTTGCTGTGCACATGCATCATGTCACTGCAGGTAAGTCTGCAGACATTGTTAAAGATAATCCAATAGGTTTCTCTGTAACAGTTGCAAATATAACAGATATAAAATAATCAATTTCATAAAAAAATGTTTCGCTATAACAGTAAACACTGAAAGATTACATTTTTTCTATGGTAATTCAATATTACTGGCTAAAATGATATTTTTGTGTGTTTTTGTTTCGTATTTTCAGCCTTGATTGAAGTAGTTAACAAACTTTCTAATTGATAAATGAGCCTAAGACACTTGAATACTTGAATCACAATAAGTGCTAAATATCTTTATGGAATTTACAGTGTGATCACACTACTTACATGGATTTACTTTTACTGTACAACGAAATAGAATGACAAGATGGTGAGGACTCATTTAATGGTCATCAGAATCTTAATTCCCTTAATAATGTCATGTTTTTTTAATGTTTGTACATTTATAAAGCTATAATTTGTATTATATCATCTTTGTGTCTAATTACAAAAAAAGCTAATTATTGCTCATGTGAGCTGTTAGTAATGCAGCAAATCACAAAGCAGGAATACAAAAAAAAAAAAAAAAAACATTCACTGCACTCTAAGTTTACCCCACTGTACGCATGTGAAAAGGGTCAGTATTGCAAAAGTATAGCATTTGGGACGCACACTCTTTTTCTTGTAGCTTTGGATTATAATTCCACATAGTTGGTTGATATTGCACATATTGGATATTATATATTGTTTTCAGTTGTCATGCATCTCCTCTCAACAAACACTTTTACAGAAGTTTGTTTTGTTCAGAATGACTTAAAAGCTTGGTTGTGCTTGATCCACAACCACTTAGTATATAATGCCCAGATTCTCTCTGTAACCATTTACAAAGCCTCCAAAATATATGATGCGTATTGTTTGGAAATCTGTACGGTTTTTAAAACTCATGTAGTTTATTTCCAGCCAAAGAACTGGTGCTTAAATCAGACGCCAACTCCTCTGCAAAAGCCAATGCTTATGAAGTTACTGTTGACACTAACAAAAAATCTTTCCTTATCTCATGTCAATTCATCCGCTTTCTCCACTTTTCTCTGTCTGCGTGTTTGCGCTGTAGTCCTGTACACGGTAGGAAAGATTCTGCACAGATGTAAACAGACATCCAGAGGTACACTCAATACGTTAGAGGTCACATTTGTGGATAGAAAGTTCAGTCAATAGTAAGACTATGTACAGGAGTTGAACAATGAGACCGAAACACTGGCCAATTTAGTGTTGGAGAATTCAAGGCTAAATTTGACCAGCCTGCTGGCCAATCTTCATTGATTGCTTGGGCTCAGGACAATGTGAAACATTTATTGTTCTCTGATGAGTCCACCCTCACTGGCTTTCCAACATCCGGGAGAGTTACGGTGTTAAGAAGCCTCAAAAAAGTGCACCGCCCAGACTGTTGCATTCCCAGAGTAAATCAGTGATGTTTGGGCTGTAATACAATGGAATTAGGACATCTCATCTCGCCCCCCAAGCCACCCCCCCACCCCCCCCCCCCCCCACCCCAAGCACCCCCCACCCCAACCATCGTACTGCTGAATTTTCAGGGACAACAATTGGCAGGTAAAACAGCAAAACTGGTGACAGAGTGAACATCGCCCATGACCTGCACAGTCACCGGAACTAAATATTATTGAGCCGGTTTGGGGTGTTTTGGTGAAGCGAGTCAGGAAACATTTTCCTCAACCAGCATTACATAGTGACTTGGCCAATATTTTGCAAGAAATAGGTCTTCTGGCCATTGTACAGGACTGTTGTATGTCATTCCCAATATAAATTAATGCTGTATTGGCTGCAAAAGGAGGCCCTACACCAGGGGTGCCCAACCCTGTTCTTGGAGATCTACCTTCCTGCAGCAATTTATCTCCAACCCTGATCCAAACATAACTAAACCAACTAAGTCAGGTGTGAGCTGAACTCTGCAGGAAGGTAAATTTACAGGAACAGGATTTAGCTCCCCTGCCCTACACCATACTAATGAATTATTATGGTCTAAAACCAGGCGTTAAAGTTTCATTGTCCAACTGCTGTAATTAGTTTCTCCCCAGTACTACAGTTTGTTTACCACACTTACTGTACATACTATAGAATTGTAGCTTGAGTGGCAGATCATCTGTAGCTCCTGAAGTATGAATATGATGAATAATGTGGTCATCTAGATCTGTTTAACTGTATTGCTTTTTTGGACGCTGCTATCATCTGGATGGTGTTTCTGGTAGGTTAAGGAGAGAATACACACCAACACCAAGCTTGAGTCTCAGGGAAAGTGCTGACGAAATGTCATCTCACGTGGTTTTTTTTCTTGATAAAACCTAATTTTACTCAAAAATAAATAGTCACAGATTGCTAATTTACCACTTAATAAATATTTTAATTAGGCCTGTCACAATAGTCTATATATTGACGCACAACATATGAACCTGACCTAAATCATTTTTAAAGATATATATATATATATAAAAACCAATGTTAGTAACATTATAGCTGATTGCGCTGCCTCTGTCATTTCATCCAATCTCTATTTTGGGTGTCACTGTCACGTCCCGATAAGGAATTTTTGTTGTGGGATATATTGTCAGAAATTCTTGCGATAAGCAATATTATTGTCATTTTGAGATCATTTTATGCCACTGATTACATAACGATTATATAACAGCATAATAATGCAAATAGCCATAAACACTTTAAAATGCGTGTAATTCTTAACCTTATTTAAATTCTATAAGTTGATGTTAAAAATGTAAATGTTGTATAAATGTCATATACACTTTTAAATGTCCTAATAGGTAAATGTCCAGATATATACTTTTTAGACCAGTAAGGTAGAACGTAAACATCATTGTAAAATGTCTTTAAGGTTGTTTGTGAATTTGTAAATATACAGTATAATGGCAAAAATTATTAAAGTCATCTGTAAGTTATAAGTCAATATAGGGATTATTGTGACAGGCCTAGTCACTGTTAGTATGGTAAAAAAGGGAGAAAAAAAACTGTAGTGTTTACTGTAAAGTAATATTGTATTTAATCTAAATAGACTTTTATTTCTGATTCTTCTTACCTTGCAAATTTGTATGTTAAATTTTAATTATTATTATTTATTTATGTAATATATATGTTTTCATATTCCGATTGCAATGCCTAATTGTTACATTGTCAAATTTACTATAATTATATTAAAGATTCTTAAGAATTATGTGTTGATTGAGTGTAATTGCATTAGTGCTATTATAGTGTCATTCTGGCATTATATAATGAGTGGCATAAAATGGTCTTAAAATGACAACAATATCGTTTATCGCAATTCGTTTTGATGCAATATATCGTACAACAAAAAAAAATGATCTCGAGACAGGCGTAATTTTGATCAATATTTATTGCTAATATTACAAATACAAAGTATTTAAATTAGGTCAAGTGAAGTCAAGTTGAGCTTTATTGTCATTCCGCTACATGTGTGGACATACAAAGGAACAAAACGTCATATCTCACAGGAAAACTGTGCTACATAAATTAGTCATAAATGCAAACACAGCACTGGACATAAGAGCTATTTAAAAAAAAAAAAACTATGCATATCTTACATACACTCAATTAATATTGAGTATTCATTATTAAAACTCTAATATTAGAAAAGGGTTTGTTCTCTCTGTGTAGATACTGTATATAAAATCAAATAACTATATAGGCTATATTTTTACCAACCTTTTTATAATATATTTTTATTATTAATATTATATACCATTCAGTAATGATAAACACTAATAATAATGATTTCAGAATTAATATGAATGCTTTTTCTGAGCCATTGATTTGACTGTGGTCTTGTTCATGTCTGTTTATGTCTTCATTTTAAATGCTTAATAGTAAAAAATTTAGAAACTTTGGTACCTCTTGAGTTTAGGTCACAATTCACAGTATTAAAAAACATCAGCTAACACTAATAGCTTAATAAACTACTAATTAGCTGTTTATTAATAGTAAGTTAGAAGTTGGGTTTAGGTTTCGGGTTGATTTGTGATGCAGAAAAAGATCATACATTATAACTACTAATGAACAGTAATATCTTAATAATAAGCAGGTAAGAATCAGTAGTTAATAGCATGAATTGTGACCTAAACTAAAGTGTTACCAAAGTTTCTAATATTAACAATAAAGGAGACTGTAGTCAAATCAATGGCACAGAAAAAGTGTTACTGAAAAAAACTTTTTTTACCATGAAGAAGATATTGAGAAAACAAACTCGTGATAAAGTGTTGTTTTGATGAAATTGTGAGTGCATATGTAGATGGTTTCAGAAATGAGATATTCATGGAGTTGCTCAACTTCTGACGTGACATCAGTGCTCGCCCTGAAACTCTCGCTTTCACTTCTGAATGTTTGTCTTGAAACTTTTCAGTTGCTGTGATTTCTGCTTGTGTTTGAGTGATTTGCATCTCCTTCTGTCTCATGCTGCTTTGCCTGAGCATTACATTCATTAAACATGAGCAGTCGGTGTCATTCCACATTGGCTTTGGGAAAATTCACTTTCCCTCGTGAATAAGAGCCGAACTAAATCCATACACCCCACATGCACATAGCCGGGTTAATTTTAGCTCAAATCCAGGCTGAATATGTGGATGAGGGGAAATAGTTGAGTGTTTAAATCTTCATACATTTATATCAGTGACTTTTGACCCGCAGATGAAGACCGGATGCCTCGTAGGAAGAGCTTTGTCGACACTATTTCTCTCCAAGTGGACATCATTTCCAACAGCGTGCCTGATCAGGTGCAAAAACATATTCAATTCAATTCAGATTTATTTCTATAGCGCTTTTACAATATAGATTGTGTCAAAGCACCTTAACATAGAAGTTCTAGTAAATTGAAATTTTAAAAATTGCGTCAGTCCAGTTTTCAGAGTTTAGGTTCAGTTCAGTGTGGTTTAATTTTCACTGCTGAAAGTCCAAACACTGAAGAGCAAATCCATATACATCGCATATACAATTTAAAGGGGAAGTATCATAACTTTTTCCATATTCAAGTGCTAAAATCAGAGAATGTTAGAAGTGTTGTATATTTATATAAAATATATTTAACTGCAGACTTCAGCTTTGCCTGTGTTCACTAGAGCTGTGGTGAAAATGAGGAGAAATGGATTCATGGATTTTCATGAATCCATTTCCATTTCAAAAATTCATCGCTATTCTCTCTTGAATGGATTTCAAGCTTAGTTATTAACAGTAGATGGCGCTGTGTGCTTTACAAGCAGCAATACTTTGCTTGCATCCAATTCCTTACCAATACCACCTACCTAAATAATCATTACCAAAGTTAGGAAAGGTTTAAGTGAGTTACAAAAGTGTTCATAGTGAGTTGTTTACATTTTTATCATAACATAAAAGCCAACTTTTATGACACTGAATGCACAAGCGCTCTTCCTTGAGAGCATTTGAGCCAGCTAGCCTAAAAAAAATTGCCTACAGTGCCATCTGCTGTTTAAAAATAAGCCTAGAATTGATTCAAGAGAGAATAACAATGCATTGTGTAAATTGCAGAACTTTGCAT